AACCTCTATAAAGACAACGTAATTTCACTTTGTGACTTTGAATCACAGTTTTAATGAGTCCTTCTAATAACGAACTAACTAATGGAGGAAATCAAATTAGAGTATAATCTGTAAAACCAACAATATACTGTAGGAGTATCAACCGCTTTATCATTGATTCCGTTCCCAGGTTTGGATTCTGAACCTATGGTAATGCAAGATATGAGAAATTCATCATTATATACATAACTCCAATGAAAATAATTAACGGTATTATACAGTCTTTTACAGGTGAATGACTTCGAATATATGGGCTTACGCGTGTTATTTTGTGCCAGCGCTACGCTCATCAACTTATTGATCTGTTGACGTTCTGAATCCCAATCTGATGGGCGAGGCCGAAGACGTACTGACAATTTGTACCAGCCTCGGGTATGCCAAAGTGATGTGTGCCGCGGATACCACTGTGAAGGTGATTTCACTTTATTTATTGATTCGGTCACCTGAATCCGTGTAATGCAGGAACTCATCGGCATGGCAATGCGCACAGTCTCACTGATGAGCTCTTCGCAACTGTATGGTTTACAAATGCCACGGGACAATCACAATCTAACCGCTTTCCGACACATTCTTTGTCGTAATTTGACATGGGCAGAAATAAAAAAACTGTACAATCCGACAGAATTAACTTTGGCCATTTGCCTGTATCCAACTAAATTTGAAGAGGCAGCTCGAAATGATCGATCCACTTTGTTTTACCTTCACCAGCAAGTAGTTTACTAAAACATTCAGGGTTGACCTATTTTAATATGTTCTCGTTTTCTAGGCAAAAGAAATCTACTATGCACATTTCAAAGATATCACCGATGTGGCCATGGCATTCGAAATTGGTTGCTTGGATATTAGGTAAGCTTTTTTTAACAGTTTGTTATTTTGAACTCACTGTACACTTATATTCTCCGCTCTTTTCTCATCTAGGAGTTTTGCAACCTCGGCTGATCCATGCACCAAAGATTTACTAGATGTGCTTGATAAAGGGAGAGGCTTGCACTCCTTCTTTCCACCCTGCGTTTTGCATGCTTACAAGGTGAGCTTTTGTATTGTATAGATTGACAAACGAGTGTCTTATTTTAGCCTGACCTGTACAATAATACATGTTTTAAAAATTTTACTATTTTGGTTAAGTATGAATCTGGTTTGATGTGTGGCATAAGAAATTAAAGAGAACATGCTCGGTAGGGGAACAATTCAGCGTAATAAATGTTCTAAATAGAATATTTTCATTTTAATTAGGGAAGGTGAAAATCAATAAAATATAAGCAGACAAATAAAGTCAGCAAAATGCCAGTCACAAACAAAACTGTTCCCTGAAACAATATGTGACGTTTACTCACGTTACCAACTGATGACTGAGGCCGTATTGCACAATTGCCATCGATGCAGAGCATTTTACTGAATAGTCTGTGAAAATCCTATTCTGTATCAGTTGTGTCTCAATCTTCTTATTCCCGTACTATTTACAGAATGCACAAATCAGGGACTTAATAAAATGAGTAGAAGTGGTGGTGATGCCAACTTTTAAGTGCGCAACCTCTAGAAGACTCTGATGATGAATTTATGCGCTTGACTATCGGTGCTTTGATGGCCTTTTGGTTGTGTCAGATTCTATACAGGAAAGTTGGAAAACGGACATGTGGTGTAGTAGTGGTGTGGTAGTTTTCCGGTTTGTATTATCCCACCGTCACCCCACTTTCTCTCGTTTCTTGTTTCATGGCCTTCAGTCGGCGACGGCGCTTTCCCAGGGCACTGACTTTTACCTTTGCGGTAGGATTTTCTCGTCATGTTTTAGTCATATCGTACTGGGAACGAGATGGATCATGCACTTTCTTCCGAGAATAGGAGTGGGGCTTCAGTCATGGATAAACGCGCATCTGATACTACCTGTACGGTCTAGGTTAAATCACGTTTCAACTTGATGTCTTGTATGCGATGGAAAACTAGCGACTATTTTGTATAAGATCTATTATGTTTGGCTCATCAAGAGTCACTCAGATTGTATGTGCCTTTAATCTCCACTACAGGGTGTATGGAACAAATGGGTTATAAAAGCTTGTTCAGGAGGTAGGGAATTATTTCAGAATTGAATTTTTTCATATTAAATTGATGATAAAACGTGAGTTCAAATGGGGAATACGAAACAAAATTGTGAACAAAATAGTTCTTACCTCATCGGAAAGTCAGAATGCATGAGTCTAACAGATCAAATCAGATACATTAGACTAAATAGCTGCCTATGGTCAAACTACATTTAATCTCATAACCTAAGTACTCACCGAAGTCACTGCACGTTTGCAAGCAAGCTCTTTCAAAACAGAAACTCAAACACTTCATTCCTAGAACCAGCAAAATAGTCAACCATAGAAAAGCGTGAACTGCAAGCTGCGGGAGTGGGAATAACTCACAGTAACGGTTACGACCATGAGAACTCAAATTTACAAAATAATGTGAAAAAGGATTAAGCATTCACGGGGTGTGATAATAGCTTAAAATGCCCACATCTTCCCAGTTAAAACAGCAAAAGTTCTTAAATTCAGGACCAAGTCTTAAAAAGCCCTTATCTATTCCACCGTACTTCGTGACTTTGAGCAACAAAGCTGTGATATATAAAACTGCCGATCGTTTTCAACTAACCAGCATTGAAGTTGACGAGGTATATAAAGCACCTTAGAACCAAACATTTTATTCTTCACTGACTCATCCAATGCAAAATTCAATCAGTCCAATGATACAATACTGTGAATAGCATGAACTGATTTTTCCTAAACCGACAAAGGAGATTTCGGTGAATAGCTGTTTATCATCATAAATGTATTGACAATCCGTAACTGTGGCAACCTCCAGGCTATTCATGCGAACAGATGAACATTCCGAAAATTCGAACACACATTTAGACCCCGATTGGAATAAGATCAAAAAAATGGAAAAGAAATTTTTGGGGAAATTTAATACTGCAAACTTGACAGAGACTATCTGTTTTCTTTTGAAAAAGAGACCCCGGTCACATCTTTTGTTTCAAATTATTTTATTGGATAAGTGACAAAACTGAGCAACGATCTCTTATCCCTTGGAATATCCTAATGAACAGAGCCACTCTGACAACCTGGAGATATTTAAAATTCCCCGCACGGTACTGGAAACGCAAACTGTCTTGTTCCTTTTCTGAGTAGTGAGTTCCCAGCAGTTAACCATATTCTCTCTGACCCAATTGTGCCCGCTGCTGTTAATTTATTCCGTCGTACTGCACGATGACAGAATACATTATTCATTAGTAAAGAAAAATCTTGTGATGTGCTTATATTAAGTTGTTGTTTAACCCCCCCCTGCCCGTCCTACACACACACACACACGCATACGCGCATACATCAGAGTGTTCAACTATCTCAGAGCATTCAGCATTGCTTCTATTATGAGCTTCTTCTGTCGACACATTAGATTTTGTCGTGTAAGCTAAATAAATTTACCGTATTCAGCAAGAGCGTGAACGGAGAATTATCCGTTAAACAACTGACCACTGGGTCTTATTTCCGTATGAAAAAGTGTTCAGTCTAGATTGATCTGCGGCCGAATCAACCAAGACCACATTTTGGCTGCAACAACGACGTCTATGGAGGCAGAATAACAGCTGCGATCGGATTTATTTGCCGGCATGTCCAAAGCCAGATGGGGGACCGAAATGATAGAATACCATTCTCTTCCTGCTATGTGATAAAACTAGCTGGAGAATTCGTTAAAAAGATAATAAAAGTGGTATTCGTTGTCCATTTTCATCCGATGCATTAAAACAACCAAAATTTATTTTTGTTTACATTATTTGATAGAGTTATATGCTAATGATTTTGGTCCAGCGCGCCATTCTTTCACAAAACGCTTCTGCGAATACCGATAAAAAGGGGAATCAAGCATCACTGGGTTCACAAGAACCGTATCCCAACACTTCCCTATGATGCAAATTGCAATCTACGGAATTCACATACGGTCCTTGCCTTAGAAACCAATCAAGATTTCATTGATTAATAAAGAACAAATATGCGAGAATCCCACAAAAAGCGGAATGACCGATTGTTAAAGATAACTGTCCTAATGCCTATATCTGAAATTTTTACAAGTTTTCCTCTATCTGCAATTTGAATGAGAGAAAACATAGCAAATTCGATGGGACTGGAACTGATACTTTGATACCGAAAGTACCTTTATATAGCGTAGACTCCACTAGACGAACGGTGAGACCATTTAAATAAGCCGACTGGGGTCCAATAAAGGAGTTCTAAAATTTTTGAACTTTTCTGAAAATATTCGGCCAGGCGGATTTTTGATTACATTCTTATGTGATCTAGTTACAGCAATTTTGAAACGTTCATTCAACAAGTATAAAAATAAAAACAGGTTCGAAATAAAACGCATTCTCTAATTTCACTGGTTTTAGTTTCTCTATTTACACCATGGTCCAAAACCCATATCCTCGAATTCAAGTTATTGATCACATATAATTATGTCAACAGATTTCAAGTGGGAGACTGCATTTTCTTCTTAAGATGTAACTTTCTGACACTGGCCGCCCCATCCATGATATCGTTTCTTGTATTACATGAACTATGAGTGAGTAATGATATGTTCTAAAGAAGGAATCAGGCGAAAAGTTTGAGAAAGAATCAATCCTGTTTTACTGTCTAATTTTGACCTTGGGGTTTATTTTAAGAGCAACTGATCAGACACTGTAACATAGCTGCATATCACGTGATTGTTACTGTTTGGTTTTCAGCCACAAAAAAGGTCTCTGTCTTATGGGGTTGACTATCCACCTCGAAACGGACAGCTGGTTCACATGCCGTGGACGTGTTGTAGGGTAGGTGAGAGCAAAATAATAATTTTTTCCTCATGGTTTTACAAATTGTATGGAAGAACAGTTTTGGTTGCCCCTCTGTGTTTTTAATATCAATGACAGGTTTCAAAAAAATGTTTACTGGTAACATGAATATCATTTCTTCTGTTCTTTAAATAGACGGATCAGAGGGTGGTCACCTGTTTTATTAAAAGAGAAAATGATTGATTTTTAGATTATCTTTATTAAAAATAGTAATATCATGTAGTTCTTGCAAATAAATAATCCAGTTTCGTATTGGACGAGGAGGAAGAGTGACTACGTGTATGCGAACCAAACAAGATGGTCACAATTATTCCTCGACCGGTGTGCACCGTTAGGGCGTTACAGATTGGTGTCGTAATCCATAGGTCTTATCCTGAACCATGTTTGTGCTTGTTATTGTGTAAGTGACCGTAAATCGAAGACAAATGGAAGCAGTTGAACATTGGTGAAACTTAGTACCTAAAATAACAAAGAGTGGATGATTCTAGACCGTGATAACTGCTTTTGTTAGTTTAATATCCGGTTTCAGGTTCTTTGTGAATCATTAGATTGTGTGTGGTTTGTAACAACAAAAGAACAGCGACCGTTTGCGCGAATAGCGATGGATGTGAGACACAGAAAGGTCAAGGTATAATGTAGGCTCATCATTTAAAACATGCCATTTAAGATACGGGGTAGTTTTTACTATGGGTTACACTATAACACTAGAAGAATTACCTGATAATGTTTTTATTGTGTTTTTTTCTAACCAAATACACATATATGTATGTGTAAAGTTCAGCACGACGAAGCTGCGAAAGTTGCCTGTTGATAGCTCTATATGCATGTTCTAGGGGAGTCGCTAATAGTTGTGAAAACAGCTTCATTATACGAAATCAACGACTGGTTGGTCACTGCTGAAACGCGTTGGAAGCAATCCGTGTACGGGCCCAAACTGTGTAAGGAAATCGGCGCATTACTCGCATACACATACATCATCCAATCCATGCGCGATTCTCGTTGTCTCTGAACTTTTACGCAGTGCAAAGCTTGCTAACTAAATCATTCAGGTTATTCCCTTGCTAATGTTCAACGAAACATGTACTGATGTGGAAAGAGCATGGGAAAAATTTCATTCGAAGTGCGAATGCAGAGAAATCACTTGAGGCAATGTGGCATCATTTGCAAGTCAGAACAGTTGTGGTTTCTTTTAAAGGTTTCTTAATGTAATATTGCAGTTCACTTTCCGTTTCATCAGTCAACTGTAGTGTTTTGGAATGAATGGATTAAGTTTTCTCGAATGCTTTTTGGTTGAAGTATTATGAACCCATTAATATCGAAGAATGGTACCGAATTCCATGATTGTTAACTGTGCAACCATTTTTGTCTTCGAAGAATGTGATCCGTATACCTAGTGTCATTGGGATTTAGGCTAAACTAATACTTGGCGAAAGTTTTGGGCCACAAGTTGATGAAAAGTCTACCCTGTTATAACATGTAACATTGATGTTTCATACAAAAGTCAGGAAACGGCAATGTTATTATTAACTCTAGTTGTCAGATAAGCAGTAAGCGGCAGAGCGAGTATTTTCCGTCTAACTAAATCTCATCTTTGGTCTGCAATGACTAGCCCATTCAAGATCGAACTCTCACATGAGATGATTGTATTACCACCAGTTAAAACGACACCTAATTCACAACTGCGCCAGCCAGAATTACTCAACTGCGTTATTGCTTAGATGTCTTCGGTGGCAGTCAGTCAGTTTGCGCACTGTCTGCGGGTCATTTGCGTTGGTTAACTTTCCAAACGAAACTCTCAATTGAGCTGGTAGACAGGAGTTTGTTGTGATAACTGATGAACACTGGTCTCATATTTTGCATTTCAATTTAACGATTCAATCATCGATTCACTGGGAATTCCATCCTTATCAGATAAATGAACAACTGTATCAGGCAGTAACACTCATGCACGCCTCAAATCGCTATCCTCGTTCATCAGATGGACGGTCTTCTGTTCGTAAATCGAGTACAGTCTCATAAAGGAGAGGATACTAAAAAATGAAGCGGTAAAATTCGTCAGAAAATTAAAAATATATTTGAGAAAATCCTGAAGTTCAAAAACATTACAAAAATGGTCTGACAAATCTATTAGACACGGGTGAATCTTTTTTGCAAGATATAGTGTAATAGACGTCTATGAATATTAAATAGTCGTTTTGTGCTTGTTTTTATATTTTTTGACAATAACCTAACAATTTAATTTATGAATTGATTTTTTCGTCACAGTTCCTTGTCCCACGAATTGTGTTACGCCGATCCACGTAACTGGGACTTACATTGAAGGATTTTGAGCCCAAATATTTTAATACAATCAGCTCTTGTAAAAAGCGATCAAATAGACAGCGGATTTTTAATACGCGCTATTGTAATCTGCACTTTACTACCTAATTATAATTTCAGCTATCAGTGGTTTTGACTTCTCCGATACCACGATGGAGGAGAAATGAGGGCAATGAGAAAATTTAAAAAGATTACTGATAGATGGCCACGGTGTTGTTCACCCCAATTTGAGCTTCGCATGAAAACTTCGAGGATTTTGACCAAGCAGGTTTTGCCTTTCTTTTCTAAAACACGTATAAAAAATGGCCACCGAATATAAAATGGTGTCCATCGCTGTCAGTCAGTGAAAGGCTCTATTTTAAACGGTATACTTTACTGTACTTAATCGTTAGGAGTTGATGCGTAAAATAAAAAAACAACTACCGGAAGTGTTCACTAGATATTCAAGTTCTGCGTAGCATATTGGAATAATCAACCACAAATGTTTTTTAGATTTATTTATTCCGATTCAAATGGAAAAGATGCAAACGAATATACTGGCCTGGCGATTAGCGTTCAAACAATAGTTTTCAATAGTGAACCGCTAAATTCTTCCATCCAGAAATCCAATTTAGCGACAGATTTCGAAAATTCTGAACTATTGGGCATTAGTGAACCCGAAACTTGTTTCATTAATTTTCGTCCATAAAATTTTCGCACTATAGCTAAAAGAGAAACTATAAAGCCTATGATTGTGCTTCTTCTAAATAATAGTTGTCACCAGACAATTTATTTAGGAAACTTGAATAAATCCAGTGTGTTTTTATTTCCATGAAATTGGGCTGTTTTCATCCCACGGTGTTTTACCGTGTTACCTATCACTCTGACTTGCATCTGGATGTTGCAGGCACCTTATGTAGCTGCTAGAATGAGCAATGTTAACCAGGTTAATTGATAAATCTTTTTGATTTTTCAAAATGATTACTGGATTGTTTAAAAATGAAAAAAACTTAATTGTGATTGTTTGCATTTTTTGTTTTTGGGCTCAAAATTACGAAAGCAGATGACTTTTGTGTTCTTGTTTCTGTTCATTCATTAAGCATGCACAGTTTTAGATTAAAATCAGGGGAGGGGTGCGTGGAATCGCTGACCCAATAGGTTCGTTAAAAACAGTCACGGAAAGCTAAAATGTTGGGGTTTGATAGTCAATATTTGGAAGATTTATCGGTTCGCAACCGTACGTGACACGAAGACAAGTAACAAATTCTTTATTGTAAAAGGTGCGCAAATAAGTGTCCACATGTAGTTTCAATCTAGAATAACACACTTCTGAGAACATAAGGTTGACAGCATGAACAAATTCTAAAAGCATTCTGTGGTGGCGACAATAACCCTCTAGCTCTTTGCTCGTTCACGGATTAGTTATTCAGCATGATCAATACACTTTTCACAATTTTCTGTGTTCTTCTAGTAGTTGCGATGAGTGGTGGATTTAAAAAATGGCTAAGGATTTCTGACAAAACAGTCATCCATTGCCTATATCCAAATGCAAGTAATTTCTTTCCACCTCGGCAGGCTACCGTGAAAGATTGACATTTAACTAGATACTGCTGTCCAGTCAAAATCCATTAGAGCTAGCCGTGATTCATGACTTCAGTGAGATGTGAGCCAAGTCAATGGAGAGCACAAATCATATCATCTACTCCATCTTGTCACATACCTCATTGGCAATGGTCTTTTATCTTGTAGTCCACACATCTTCATCACATTCCGTCTCACAATGTGCCGGCATCTCATGTCAGGAATATTTTTGTGTGAACGACAGATGATCAGTTGTAAGCCAATCCAAATTCGGTTGCCACCGTGTTCACTTCACATGTACACTTGAGTGCACATGCACAGTTGTTGAGCCTCATTTGGTTAGCCCCGTATGTGTGTGTGTGTGTGTGTGTGCACGCGTGCCAGTGTATATAATCATGTGTATACACCAGTGTGGGTTGCGCGTGAATTGTGCCCCGTCGAATATCGATCGCCACGTGCTGGAATGAATAATGAGTGATTGTGTATGCGCACACGTGTACACCACCCCTCAACCACCTAGCGCAATTGCTGGATTGTCTCATTTTCTTGCTAGCACATGTACGAATGTCTGTCAGCATGTGTCGAGCTCTAATCGAGAAAAGATTGAATTGCATTTGTGCATGGCAGCCGAGAGTTAAAAGAATGCTAAGAATCGGTCAATCTGTGCGATTGAGAAAATGAACACAAATGCCCGATCAACATAGTGGTGTAAGTCACATCCAATATATCGTGACCTCATTTTGATGCCACACTCTAAACAGGTCACTTAAAGTGGTTCTACCTACGATTTTCCCCCCAATCACCTCTGTGACAGAATAAAGCACTTAGACGGGCAGTGCAAAACTATCTGGTGAAAGTACAACACTATTCCGAGGAGGATTGTGCTCTGGACATGCTCAACCGGTATCTGATTTTGTTGAAATTCGATCGAGATGTGATCAAATGCTCCTTTGGAGTAAGTACCCATCCATTTATCTTGTGCAACTGTTTTGAACCGTGTTAACTCTTGTTCACTGTGTTCTCAAGCCCTTATCCCGTGATCCAGTTTCCTGTACCTATTTTCATCATTGGACCGGTAGACGGAGTCAAATCGATCAGGAAAAAGTTCGGTGACTTTGAAAAACAAGATCTCAATATGAAATACTTGAAGCAAACCAATTCACTTGAAATATGCTTTATACCCGTCAACCTTTGTCTTGATAGGAGTAGACGGAGAGACAGTGGAATGTAGTTCTCATAAACGGATTTCGGTTCGGAAACCGCGGCTGTGCTTTGCAAAACACGAATCGGAACGATAGTTTGTTAGTTATCGTTTACGGGGATTAAGCGCACCATAACTGAAAACATATCTACTGTGAACACCTCATTGCAACTGTGTTAATCAGTCTGTCGGTGGATCATAACAATGTAGGGTAGCCTCACATTAGATGTGTCAGAAGGTTTCAGAACTCATAAGCGTTAGGAATAATATTTCACCCCGAAGTTTTACAGTTCACATCCAAGTAAAGATAAATCAGTTGTCTGTTGCTCCGTATCGGTTGGAGTTTTAGGGTGGTGGTAGTCAACTGGTTAAGACAATAAAGATAGTGACCAAGAGATCCCTGGTTCGAATCCCACCACCGCCGCCCACTTTACCAATTTCTGTATTTACCCAGACAGTCAATGTTTGACCACAACCCACGTCCCGAAAGCTGATTGCATCTTTATATACTCAATAAGCCAAAACGAAATAAAAAGCATTCATACATAAATTCGTCGAGTAAAATTATGTAGTGCAATAGGTTCCACCATGCGCCAATGAAATGATCATCAGAAGAATGAGCTGGACTTAAAAGAAATAGATAGCCAGAAAACAAGTTTATTCAAGTGTAGCTTTATCCAGTCACCACGATTTTTTTGTTGAGTTGGATGGACTCGTCAACGTTTTTGTATGGTCCATTGGTGGCAGATGTCTTTTTATGTAGTTGTGTTATAATTAGCTGAAGGAGTAACCCCCATTCAAACAGAGACATATATTTCGCTAAAGGGATTCGGCAGAAAAATTGAGATAGGTGGGGTACTAAGTGAGACACCAGTAAAGCTACCTATCAACGAGGTGTGATGGTTGTAACAGGTTTCGAACTTCGGACTTCAAAACCTGAAGCTTTCTAGTGGCAGCAAATTAAATCGCTTGTGAGATTACCGACGGAAACATACCGACTTTGTTAGTAAGATCCCTACTTGGAAGACAAATATTATTGCGCGAAGATGATTATCCCATTGAGATACAAAGATGGTTTCTGGTTCTGTCGACCAAACCTGGTCGTTCATTTGTTCGTAAGATTTTGATCTATTGCATCCTGATTGCCCTCCAAAAATGTCCGCACGATAGTAAAGAATCAGTCGAGGTCGAGGGACAAACGCTTATCTCTGGGCAATTACTAAAGCATTCCGGTCTAGATTCTACCACGCACAAAACCTTCACAATAATCTAAACATAATGGATGTAGATGATGGCATCCTTTATCGGATGGAAAAAATCAATACAGGATCATGAAGCCACATAGTAGCCTTCATCTACATACTGAATGTTTGCATTCTCAGTAAGCTTTAGTTGGCAAAGATGAATATGCATAAGATTTAGTTTCAAAAAACGACGTTTTATAAAACCTCATCTTTCCGCGATACAATTATTTCAATTTGACCAGTGCCAACTTACGTCTCCACTTTTCTACGTTGAATATTGATTATAGGGTGGTCGACGGGTCATTCCGAAAAGTTTGTAATCCAAGAAGGAATTTATGACCACCATCACCGTCAACTTAAATGCAACTATATTTTGTGATTTAGAAGCACAGATTAGATTCAAAAGCGATGAGTTACGAAAGTGAATTTGTGATCCCGTGCTACTCTCAGAATCCAAACCAATTGCGTGAGGGTTTACATTTTCTTGATACAGGTTAGGTTTTATCAGAAAAATGCACATTCCAGTTTATCTGTTCACGTTCTGCTAGATTTAAAAGAAATAACTAGTCTGCAATCAAAACCAGATCAGCTCAACAGAAATAGAGAGCAATGTGACTTTTTGTAGACCGCGAAACACAGTTTATCGTCAAGGTTTAGTTGACCGGACAGTTTTACAATGAGTGCAGAATCGCGAAATATCAAGCAGTGTTTATTGATTAATCGATTACCAGTTCGAGGACTGATTCATTATACACCCCGTTAGTGCTTTTTATGACCGCGAATGAAAACAGAACAAGTTTTACTTGCATGAATTGTAAATGGAGTTTGTACTTGATGTGTAGCAAAAAAAAGCTTGATTGAATCAACAATTGTTTGACATCAGATAACCGAAAACCAACCAACCAACCAAACAAACACATCTTTGATTAGAGATCCACGTAATGAAAATCCGCTGTGAAGCAATTTTTCCAGACGGCTTTTTGTCAGTCCTGCTGCATCGGTGACTCCAGTCGGAAGTTCCCGTCTGTCACACACGCACACGCACATGACCGTACATATACACTACTACTACCAATTCTGTCCGCAGCATGCAAATTGGTGTCGATTGCGTGACTGGAAAGCTGATGTTTTTGATTTGTTGAAGTGACAAACTGATGCAAAGAATGCATGGAAAAAACTTCCGGTTTATTTCATTTGGAATTTATGGACTACTATTCATTTAGAATACGTTGTTTGTTTACAGACTCTGCTTATACAGCGTATACCGCCACTCGTTTAGGGCAGAAAAAACGCTTTACAGAAGTGACCCTTTTAAAATGTGACTAAGTTCTTCAACTGGAATCCGGCTTCAATGCATCACTTGAAATTCGAATAACGAAGTAAACTCTATTTTATCGTGATAGTTTCTTAATGAATAACCAAACTGATGAATGTAAATCGAATCCTAGCTAATCAACCGTTAATCGTAAAAATTTTATTGAGATTCCTTTTTTGAAAAGATATCTGTTTAATTAGTTTTCTTGGCCTCAGTGAGGGATGTGGTTGTTTTAGGGAAAATTGTGTTGTTGTTGAAAAATTGTAATACAGTCAGCTCTACCGCAGACACGACATCTTTGTCGACATCTGACATTAACGTTCCAGTGATGTGTGAATCGTGCACAGGGAATGCATGATAGGTTTGAAACAACAAGATTATTTGTACCGTCATGCACGCCCTTATTTCTCCCAGGTTGGATCAACCACGACGATGCTCCCTGATGCGATTCGACACATGTCTCGTGTCTTGACTTACATCACTTTTTCAGGTGAAACTTAAACAAACAAGGAGTGATCGTGTTTTTTTGTTGTTGACTTGCTGTTTGTGGATGTGGAATAATCAGTATTAGGGGATTTTATTGGTGTTCACTTAACACATGCGTTTAGTACATATCTATGGTATATAGAACAACATGGGAGCAGCAGTTTACATAAGTAGAAAGTAATACTATCAATGGCTGTAAAGGAAATTGCCATGAAACAGATCCCACTAATCATTCGTTAACTCACAATGTACCCAAAAGTAAATGTGCATTTGTCCGGTAGATGGATATAAGACTAAGCTCACTAAGCAAAGGAATGCAAAATGATTTCGTCAACAGAGAGAGAGGGTAGACCAGATCTTTCCCTACGAACCTTCCAACAGTTACCCGTGTCAGGAGATAAAAACTGGAACACCACTCTTCTCCATTTATCTCCTTGTCCGTAAGTGTGTCTAGCCAATCCATTTCAAGGTTAATCTAACGAGTCGCCAAAAGTTAAGAGCACCTGATAGTTCCATACAGTTCTTTATACTTCGTCTCGGCATCAATGGGTAAGCTTCACATGATATTCTCCGCCTTGGACCAGCAACTGCGAAATAAGATTTGCTAGATAGATTTGCTTATCACGGTCCCCAAATAGCTAGGGCTACTGATACCAACACGTCCCGCCTACCAATCAAAACAATAAATTACAGTCTAATCCCTTTGCGACTTTTGACTGGGCGGACAACAATCTCATACTGGAGATTGTCTTCCATACGCACAACCTTAAGGATTTACAAATACAAGGCGGAACCTCACATATTCCAGATCACTGCACAAGTTTTTCACTCCACTCAAACGTCACTTTGAAATGCCACCTTAATTCGACAAATGGAGCCAAATATATTTACACAGTCACTTCATAGGACATTAGCGCCAGTGATCACACGGTTCTCGAGGTGTGGAATAGAATATTCGTGGAGAATATTTGACCTTAGAGGTTCTAAGAAGAGGTTTTTGACTGACCATCTTGCTATGGTGTTTCGCACTTTGAAGGCGCGCCTCAAGTCCGAAGAGTAGTGGCACCAATAATTAGTTAACGTTTTAAACATAGTTTATAAATTGCAACCGACAAATGACGTCATCAGCTTACTCCGAATCGCATAAAGTTTCTTCAGGTTTCCATTGATTACCAACCTCTGGCAGGTCACCGTGGGCGTATCCCAATTTCTCGTTAATTGCGAAGTAGAACAGAAATGATGATTAATAAGAAAACGTGGTGATCAGCGCTACTGATTTTCCAGGAATACGTCCCCACCATCCTCTGAGTTCAATGAACCCTTTTGTTCAAGAGGGATCACCATTCTTGGTCGATAGTATGCGTTGAAGTTTGATCGCCTAACACTAGATGAATAGTGTTAGTCACCTGATCAAACACTGGTCTTCCGATTACAGTTTTTCCCGATACGTTTTCGGGAAATGGAGTAATACGAAGTAAGAAGTAAGAAATTGAACGTCGTTTGCAGTGCTTCAAGCAACTGTTGTGTAGCCCCTTCTTCAGCAGCGGGGCAACTGATAGCGAAACAGTCCTTAAGTAAAACAGAAAGATAATTGAGCAATAGTTAATTATTATTCAAATCAAACTAGCTTGGGTTCATTTGCGGTTATTCCTGTTGACGTCTTGGTAGCTCGCTTGATAATAGAAATCTCTTCAATGTGATCATCACTC